GGTTATGCGACGTTGCAACCCGCACCGTAACATATGCACCTCTTTACAACACTCGGGAAGAAATGTAAGAACTGAGACGGTGTATACCTGCATAAAACAAAACAAAGAAAAACATAGAATTCTAGCTTCCAGCTTTCATAAACGGGCGTTTATGAAGGCTGAAAACCTTCATATAGAACAAAATTAAAAAAAAAAAAAATAATATCGTACAACAAAATAAAGTTGAGTCATTCTGTAGCCGTTCAACTTTCCTTTTTATTTTTTTGGCTGTCTATAGATGAAATCGTAAATTGGTAACCGGCTCTTGCGGCTCGTAAGGTTGGGATCGCATAAAATTCTGGTGGGAACGGTCGCGTCGTTGAGTTCCCTTCACGGAGGTACGGTCGCTCTGAAAAACAGCAAAAAAAAAAAAAAAAATTAGAGAGAAAAAAAAAGAGCAAAAAAACAACAACATCTGGATTGAGAAACGAAATGCGCAACAGTACGCGCAGTTCACCGCAGCACACGCACGTCTGTCAATGTTGAAACACTGAGGGGGCAGCGATGAAGAGCGCGCGGGGCTCCGCAACAGCTATAACCTCGCGGTGTACGAGCTGGCGCAACTCATGGGGAAAGAAAGCGCTGTTCCTCGGTCCCCTCCCTGCACGAGAGTGGTGATCTTGCATTCTCGCGGACAAGACGACACCCATTTGAAACTTCGGCCGCTCGCGCGTGCTCGAGCACGCGCCCCTGTGTAGCGTCGCTAATCCCCGAAATAGACTGTCGAGAGTCGGATTACAGCACGCGCCGCCGCCGTAGCGCTGTTAATCCCCGAAATAGACCGTCGGGAGTCGGATTATCGCAGCCCGAATGAGTCGCGGGGCCAGGCACGGGCAAGATCTTCGTTTTTTGCTCGCGTCCGACGAAAGATGGGCCGACGCGCCTTAAATGGACTTTGATAGACGGGAACAGCTTATGGGACGCACGGGTCGCTTGTAAATTTGTCGACGGGAAAATATGTTTAAGACGACCTTGCGACAGGGCGTCATCGTAACGGCCTGAGTGTTATATCTCGAAACGGTAAAGGTTCGCCCCCCCCCCCCCCCCCCCCCCCCTATTAAAATCCATGTTCGAGGCGCTGTGTTCGGCGGCGTGTGACTGAGAGGCGGAGGAGGCGACGGGACTCTGCCGACACTTGTTCAGTGACGGCGCAGACCGACGTTGACCTCGCGTCCGTAACCTTCCCTCGGGTAAGTTATTTTCATCGGAGCAAAGGTACTGCGAAGAGAAATATAAATACGAAAAGGGAGGTTCGAGCGCGGTTTCGGTAGTAAGAACAATGATACGAAAAAAAATTACCGCATCTCCAAGTGGTGCATGTTGTTGATTGGGGCGAAGCTCTGGTGGTGCTGATGATACTGATTTTATTGTTCATAGGTACTGTAGTGCTGATGGCGCTGATTTTTTTTATTGCTCATAGGTAGTGCTGAGTTTCGGGTTGCGTTTCGACTTCATTATTACTGCTTTATGGTCGGTGAAATGCAGAGTCAGTGGTTCTTCTAGCGGATCAGCTTGGATCCGCTAGAAGCCGTGGGAACGCATCTCCACCGCTTAAAGGGCAACTCCGTTTCATTTTTGATATTTAGAAATCTATGTAGAGCTGTTTGGTACTGCTTTGTGAAATGGAATCACATGTAAGCCTAAATTTTTCGGAATTGAGCGGAGTTGCCCTTTAAGTCAACGGTCCATGTCAGAAAGAGAATGGGTGGTATGGCACGTGGTTATATACGCATTTGAGCATTTGACCGCAGCGCCCTCTCGTCTATAAACGTTGAGCCAATGAATGCAAAGTTTAACGCGATTATATATGCATGTGACCGCAGCGCCCTCTCCTGTATAGACGTTGAGCGGCTACATGCAACGTTTCATCCATGACGTCCCCAGCTCTTGAGTTACTACCACATCTCAGAGCCCCCTACTCGTCCCGCAGTCGTGGCCGAGTGGTTAAGGCGATGGACTAGAAATCCATTGGGGTCTCCCCGCACAGGTTCCAATCCTGTCGACTGCGCAAACATTTTTTTTCTTCTTTTTTTAAGAAGACAGATGGGACGGCAATCGATGTGAGCACGGACGCCGGACAAGGCTAGACCCTAAGGGGCTTCGCCCCTAAAAAAAAAAAAAAGAAGAAAACAAGAAGAAGAAACTAGCAGAGCTCGCGCACAGCTGTTTCTTCCGCCTCGAGCTAGGTTTCGTTGGCCGGCGGTGTGCGGTCCGTGTCTGATCAAACATCGAGCGACGTCCGAGTCAAACAAAAAAGATGGACAGCGTGTTGGATGACGCAACTTGGCCGATTGAGAACTCGCATCTCGAAGCGAGTCTGCAGTCACGGCTGGGCCGCACCCCTCGCCCCCCCCCCTCGTTTACACTCATTCAACCGAACAATTATAAAACAAATAAAAAAAATTACTGTCATGTAAAAAAAAAAAGTACATCGAGTAGCACAAAGAAAACGTAAAACATTCAACTTCTTCGCCCTTGTGCCAAACTGGAACGAATTAGGTCCAGTCTAGAAACTTTCGCTCCAGGGCTGACGGGACTCGGCTGGGAGAGCCGGCGAGTCATCCATCAGCCTGGCGAAACAGGTGCTGGAAATCGCCGGTATAGCGCGACTGCGAGCGCTCGCGCGACAGAAGTTCCTTTCCCGAGCCAGCACCCCCCCCCCCCCCCCCCCCCCCCACACACACACACACACCTGTTGGCGCCTTCAATTTTCGCAATGCTGTGCATACAACGCGCGAAATCGAGTATACTGGCGAGACCGGTTATAACAAAGTCAACGGGAATCGGAAATCACTTCGCTATATCCGCTATAACCGACTTCGTTATAACTGGTCTCGACAGTATAGGCAGCTTCGAATATCGAACGCTCGACGCACTCCATTACCGGAGTCGCGGATATATCGTTCCAGGCTCCAGCCATTCTATCTGCGCATGCACTGGGTCAACACCGAGGCTCGCGTGCAGCTCCAATTACCGATGACGAGAGAGACGGTGCGCCAATGACCGGCGTAATCGTTTCTTTATGTACATTTGTGCGGACGCCGCCTAAATCTGGGGACCCGTCTCGTTACCGTCATCCCCGCGGGGACGTTTCCAAGATAGGCGCGCCTAACGGCCGCCGTCATTGACCGGTCAGCGCGCGGGCATCAACAATTCGGAGCGCGCGGTTGTGCACGAAGAAGACACATCGCCCCGGCGTATACAGCGTACGCGCGCATCGGGTCATAACCGACCGGCTACAAAACTGTCTCCGACTACGAGGAAATAACGCTAATAAAAACGACGTTTACGACGCCGTGCACTAGCTACGCGAAAAAGCCGTTTTTATTTCCTTTTTTTTTTGGGGGGGGGGGGGGGGGGGGGGGGGGCAGGGGGGGTTGAGAGCCACCAACCAGTGACCGAAATATTCGGCGGCGACCGTTCGTTAATAATACCCGCGTTTCTTCCCCAAACTGCCCGCACGCGACGTCGTTGCCGAATTTGCGCTGGAAGCAGTAAGCGAAGAAAGAAGTGCCGAGGAACGAGACAAAAAATAACTTCGTGCAAAGCGAGCTCGGGCGTTATTGAACAAAATAGGCGACCGCATAAGACCACATCGCAAATATGAAATAGAGAAAAAAGAAATTCGTTTCGAGGGCACACGTTTCTTTTTTTTTTTTTTTTTTTCTAGGTTTCCAATTCTCTGGAATTACTTTTCAGGCACTTACCCGTAGATTGGTTCTTCTGGTGCCTCGGTCACTTTCTTTTCGAGTCTTGTATCGAGTTCCTCTACGAGATCCGTAACAAAGAAGAGCTGCGGTACGGCGCCGATATGTCTGGACCACTGCAAAGGGACGCCGAGGAAGGAATGACGCTTGAGAATGAGAACTTTAGAAACGCCGACAAAAACATTTTTGGCCGCTTTCAGCCTGTTTTGTGGAGGCCTTGAATGTAAACTGCGGAGAGAGTACACAAAAGCCTTCATAAAAAAAAAAAAAAGCCATTGTGAATGCACAGGCTCAAACATACTTTTTTGTAAAAAGAACTGCACTTAGGACAATTCCACAAACAGTTCATGATTATTAAGGGAATAAATAACTTTCTAGAGCCTATTTTCGGCAGATACGCAGTGCTTGTAAGGGATAGGGGTTTTAGATGAAGTTGTGTGTTCTTTCGGGGCTGATACGTAAGTTAACACGCGGAAGGGCGAGGATGAAATAGTTTTTTGCTGCTATAATGCGGGGCTTAATGCTTATCAGTGAATATGAAGGATTACTTATCCTGCATCCACACGAAGACACCGCAAGGGTGACGATAATAATCCCCGGAGAAGGGGAACAAAGTGGGACAAAGGACAAACACAAATGTCTAACACAGTTAGGTGACTGGTGCGCGATCGAAAAATTCCGCTTGGTCCTGGTATCGAACCAGGGACCTCTCCATTTCTAGTGGAGCGCTCTACCAACTGAGCTAACCAGGGTTTAGACGTCCGTAGAGAGAACGGGTATTATCAGCTGCCTCCGGTTTAACACAAATAAGGGTGAACGGCCTGCATTTTAAGGTTATGATGATAATGCAATTAATGCAAAGGTGCAAGCGAGCTCGACAAGTATGACGATAATATTCGCTGGAAATGGGGAACAAAGGGGGACAAAGGACAAACACAAATTTCCAAACACAGGTTGTGTAATTTTCCTTGCTCCCCCTTTGTTCCCCTTCTCCAGGGATTATTATCGCCCTACTTGTCCAGCTCGCTCGCACCTTTGCATTAACTGCATTATTACCGCAAGGGTGCCGTCAGCTCAGGTTCGGCCATAGCAAACGAGATAGTTCAGGCGAGACACAAACGTACGCCAAAAGTGTAGACGGTTTCAAGGTGCACCGTCAGTTGCGTTTTCTGCTGCCAACTGATTGAGAATGGTACGAATGACAATGGAGAAAAGAGAGAGAGAGAGACGAGTTGCAATATTGTTCATGCGCAGGTTTCACAGGCAAACATGATCACGGCTTACAACACTGGCCGAGCTGACGAAGAGTCACGTGACGACGCTGCTCGTATCGCCGCCTGGCGATGGACGCGGCGAACGCAAGAAGCCTAACATGATTCTGTAAGTACTAACGCGCTTTCCCAGGCCACCCGTAATGAGGCTCTCTATATCGCTAGCTTTCTCGTAATATTGCAATCAGTAATATACATATCATTCATTTTTTTTACGTTTGCAGAAGCACTTGCACACATCAAATTGTTCGGGATCAAAAACGAAAGAAGTGTAAGCACCAATCTCTTGCTCTACATGGCCATTATAGTGGGAATAGCTTTCCCGACTTCGCCACAACAAAAACAGCTTGAGACGAAGCCTCCGCGTCACGGCGACACGGTAGCAGCGACGTCTAGTGATTAACCGAGGCAGCCGCGTTCGAATGGGCGTCGGAACGTCAGCCCGTCATGGTATGAGGCGGAGGTCAAACAGAGATGGCCACCTCGCGTCCACCCAGGCTTGCGTGGCCACAAGCATAGCTGAACCATCGATGTATTTGTCTCGTGAATACGGCTTAGTGGAGTGGTCACCACTGGACGAAAGCTTCTACAAGCTCCGCGTCTCTTAACTGTTTTCTGTTTTTTTTTTTTCTTAGTAACCAAAGCACAGACAAAATGACAGAACAAATATTTTTGTAGTTGACAGAGATGTGAGTAGTGATTGGTTTAAGTAATTTTGGAGCACCTTTCGGAGCAGCGGAAAGAATTTCTGGAGCGCAACCATTTACTGCATTCTTATTAATTTCGCTGCGAATACCATGTTAAAATTCATGAGTTGGCCTGTCCAACTAAAAGACAATATTTTTCCCACTCCTCTTCAATAGCTCATTAGTATTATGATATTAATTAGAAGACAGTTTGATTCCCTTAAACACTCATCTAGCTGTTTAGCTGTGCTCAGAGCCGTATATGTAGAGAATTTGGCCATTCGTTGGAAAGTATAGCAGACAAATGAGGAGGCGCCATTGGCCGAAAGCGGGCTGGGCGGGTTTCAGGGCGTCTTCACAAATTCGAATGTGACCAACCCGAAGTTGGAAATAAGACCCTGGCGGTTGTCGCGAGAAGCAAACTTAATAAGTGTGTCGGAGTAACTCTCGGTGTCTGAAAATATGGTGCGCGTGATGTTTCAATCACGGTCATCCAAAATCATGGTGGAAGTGTGCGACTAGCGGAACGATCAACATAATCCGTACGCCAAGCGCCGAAGACCAAGCATTGGCCGTCTGAGTGGTCACACTCTGTCCGAGCAAAACAGAGTTGAGTGGCGCATTCGTTTCTTACATCTTTCTGGACGATCATGATCGAAGAATCACGTGCACCCTATATTCAACCATAAAGGGTTACTACGCTTCACTCGTATGCGCTTATGAAAACCATATACCAACATATGCCTTTGATTAAAACAGTTTCTCGCTACCACTGCTAGGGGATTCTTTTCGGCTTCTGGTTGGTCAAGAGAGCACGTCAAGCCCTCTTTCTGCGTCTGGTGCACGCTGGTCTGTCCGCGCCTCCCATTGACTATACTCTCTCTATACACGGCTCTGGCTGTGCTTAAAGGGCCCATGAAACGATTTTAGACAGAATTTTACAAACTGCACTGTTGATGGAATCAAAAGAAAACTAGCACGCGATATTAGAAAAGCTAGATTCTAATTTTTCGCACAAAATTTTGGCAAATAAAAGGGGACCGTACCTTACACTCTCTCCCTCGAACGCTTGCAACGAAGCTGAGTGTATGAATGTGTCGAATAATAAATAAGTTGTGGCGAAACCTTCTGTAATGGGTGGTAGCTAGCTGCGCCACCTAGCAATATAACCGCAACTCAATGTCGGAATATTTTTTTTTTATTTTTTTTTTCGAGCACGTCAATAAAATTTAGCTACTGTATTGTATACGAGTAGTGTGTCACTCGAACTGTGCTCGCAAACGATGAAATTGACGATGAATACCCTCGACGGAAATGACCGAGTTCAATGCCCGGTTACATAAGCCGCAGTGTCAACGAGAGCGCGAGAGGTTTCTCCTCGAGGAATCCCATTAGGAATTTATTTTACACCGTTTCTAGCGTTTGGTGTTCGCAGCCGAAATGGGAACCTACCATTCTGTACTGAGTAATCACCACCTTCTCCGCTGCCGGTTCCGGCGCCGAACTGCTACAGCCTTCACCGGGCGAGTTTTCGTTCTGCCCCGTGCACGTCCCGGCGTACGGAACAAAGTCCATACTTTCACTATACCAAAATATTTTAAGCTGCACTTCAGTCAGCCGTGACGTATCATAGCAATGGCGTCGATCGCACAAGCGTCGTGGAGTAACGAGTCAGCATGCATGGGTAAATTACTTCCAAAATCTAATTTGATTACAATTACTTTGCTCCAAAAGTAGTTTAACTACAATTATAATTACTATTATGTAAAAAGTAATTCATTAAAATTACAAATTACTTTTTTTTAAAGTAATACAATTACTTTACAACTACTTATTTCTGAGAGCGACCCGACTTTGGCCATATAATTTTAAACGAGTTGTTTAGAATCCAACGAATTTGTTCGTTCCTTGCCCCAATGTTTGAGGAGGCTTAAACAGTGTTGTATAATAGTCATATATTATACTTTCCTTTTGTGAATTTAGTTAAATTAATGACAGAACTTGACAGGTTGGGGATATGAAGTCCTACGTTCTTATATTTTCAATAAATATAAGAACGTAGCACCACAACCAGCTCACAAGAGAAATTATCGAGGCAGAGAACATTGCGAAACATAACGGCAGATGTGTTAGTACTTTGTCTTTAACCTTGTCACAAAAAGAATTAGACTACCTAGCCTTACATTAATTTCAATTTAGTTCACTATTTAGCATCATATCGAAAGAAAAGAAAAAAAGACCAGTTATTCTCCCTGGCCCTTGCATATAGCACAAATAGAAGAAGAGAAAGTGTAAATATACAGAGAGTTGTCAGTCAGCGCTGAGTAAGTGTCTCTTTCTTTTGTGTGTATGTTGACTTGAATGACTGTTCTCCGGGTGCGCTGTTCCCCCTGTACATCATGAGCAACCAATTCGCCCGAACCTCTGTGTTAACATGAAAACTGAAGCTCAGTTTTGTTTCTTTCAATATGTTGGCATGCTTACGCTATTGTTTTCTGCTCGTACCGCAGACGGCGCCACACGGCGCCGTTGAGATAGGCTCCAAAGAGGATTCTCTCTCAGCCTGCAGTGTGAAGAACAAACAACGTGACGCTATATTTGTTGCGCGTCTGTGTAAGTGCGTGCCTACGTGTGCGAGTGTGTCACCGAGCGCTCGGCCGCTTGTGCCAGCACTGAAGCTTTCAGAGAGGTTCCGTCGGCGCCGCAAAGTCTTGCAAAAGTAGTTGTAATTGTGCCTGAAATTTTGCAATTACAGATGCTAGAAAGTAATTAAATTACAATTCATCTCATAAAGTAATAAAGTGCAATTACGAGGAAAGTAATTAAATTACAGTAATTCAATTGCTGTAATTGAATTACTACCCACGTGTGTACTACACTGGCCTAGAATGGAGTAGTGTGATCACCGCGCCCGCTTGCTGAGGCGCTTAATGTCAAAATTGACAGATGGCGCTGCGGTCCACTCCTCCTGAGGCTTTCCCGCGCACTTCTGCGATCGCGTGCGTATCAGCACGTGTGTGCGTCGGTATTTTTATCGTCAGATAGCTCGGAAGATTCAGAAGAATCGTAGGAACTGCGTCGGCCGGAAGCACTGGTTTCCCACGCTGAACGCGTACCTTTTCACCGCTGATGACGTGCACATAATCTCTATAGTTACATAGTGTGGTTCAAAATCTAATTCGCACACAGCAGAGATCTCATCCAACGTCTTGTCCTCTCGATGCAAGTTCCTATCCCACAGTTTTCGCCGCACCTCGTCTTCGGGTACACCGAACAAGGACACCTTTGCCGCGTCCTTCGCACGCGTGTATCCTGTTCTATCACCTCGAAGCATGATCGACAGAGGGCGGTGAGCTCACTACCCCATTCCAGGTCACTCATTGGTCCTACGAAGCAATCGGCGTTCATGGAAACCTCAGTAGGTGACGTCGCGACGCGAAAACGTCGTTTCGACGCAACGCGACGCTTGAATGACGCGACTCCTTCGCTCGGCTGGGAGAATTTCCGTTTCCGGTAGAAAGGCATACTTTACGCCACGGCCACGTGATTCCCCTTGTTGGCGGACGAGTCCGGTCGAGTCGAGGAGGAAAGCAGCCGGAACTTTTCATCTTTTTTTGTGCAACAAAATAAAACGAAAACGGATTCCTGCTCCGGGTTCCATGAGCATTGAAGATCAATTGGTGTCTTCATTTGGAAAACAGTGGAAAATCATTTCATGGCCCCTTTAAAAGCACCATGCAGACATATCGACAGGAATGTTGCCACAAGAACCATTATACTTTTTTTTAAAGGACCCCGCTGGCTGATGAAAGAAGCATGATCATCCGTGAATGACTATTTTTGTTATTAAATTAAACGTAAACCCAATAGCATTCCATTAAAATAATCAAAATAGCAACAAATTTGTATACACTTCAGTGTTTTGTTGAAGTTCGGAAAGTTTAATAAACAAAATGCTGTGCTTAAAACAACAAAAAAAAGCACTTCTGTAATTTAATTACGCACATCCATGGCATTTTACATGCAGAGTTTTATGATTATATAAAATCAGTCTGTGGGACGTAAGTAGGTATGGTTATCCCCAACGTTTCAGTCGGCAACTGCTAAGACTGTTTTAGTTTTAATTCAAAGATTTTTTTTTTTGTTTTGTTTTCCTTACTATGCCTTTAAACATTTGGAGGCGTATATAGGTGATAGCTAAATCAGAAATATGACATTAAAAAATTTTATATAGTGCAACTAAGCCACATATTCGAGGCACGCTCTACACACGACTAATAATGAACGCAAATAATGCGCAGGCGGGTTTTTATTTTAAAACGTTTCGTGCAGTGTAGGGTTCTCATATGAGCACGCACTAAGTTTAATCTATTTTCCA